AATATTGAAAAGATAAATCAATTTATTGCGTAAAATGAAAATCATAAATCACATTGATTGATTCCGTTCGTGACTGTTCAACAACGCAGCTTGACGTATGATTCGGTCTTTACTTCATTTTTAAAGCAAAGGCCATGAAAATACTAAGATCCGGGAAGGCACGAGAAATGGGAAATCCTACTGTATATTCTTCAGCTTGACAAAAGTGGTATATGATGAAAACTGCTGCACAATAAGCAAGGATGCGTCTATTGTGAGACCGTCCGTCCTCTTGGCTGTTGATTTGTTTAGGATTTGAGAAGTTTAAATTGATTGAGCACTCAAGAAGAGCGGCGACGGTCGTGCGGTAACGGTAGATATTTGTATGTCAAACACTATTTTTAGCTTAAACACCTATTCAGTTCTGAACATTTCAGCTTTGGTTTCTTAAACCATTTCATAAGCTATGTATGTCAGTCACCTTTGTTCTTTACATATCTTTCAATCAAACAATAACCAAGTGTAACTCAACAAAGTTTATGTTACGAAACGCAATATCAACGGAAGATTCCACGACAATGCGGCAAACAATAATGTAAAATACAGCGTTATAACAATCACAACACGTGCCATACAGTGATTGCTTTACGACAGTTCACAAAAAATGCGTATTATGACAAATTCAATTTGCTTAGACGACCAAAAGCAACGCTTCATTTGGTCATGAACGGAATTCGTCGCAGTTTCTTTTTTCATTCGAAAGTTACCATGGCGTCTTCGTTTGCCCTTACTAAATAATTTTACCTTGCAAAATAAGGACTCCAGTGGGTCGAGTCCTGCGCCGTGTCAACAAAGCATGGCCCACGCGCTAACGTATTCAACGCGGCGATTGATGAAGTATAAAATTTCTTAGTACCGTCTCACTCACAATGGAATTATGATAATTTATCGGTTGGCTTGTGCCGACGAGTGTGTGGGAACGCGCGCGGCACGGGCTTTCCCACGCGCCGGAGTCGCCGCGACAAACGTCGTATTAGATTCGTAAAGATCCGTTACTTACGCCTTTTTACTGCGGAGCGTTGGGTTCGTTTTGAAAGTAGAACGTCGTAAGTGCTTGGTGGTTTCAGAGAGAGGAACTTCTGGCCTTGGAAAAGAGCAGCGTGTGCTCTTAAGACGTTTTGTTGTCTAATCCACCGAGACAGAATTGGAGTAAGTAGCGTCACGGCGGTTTCGACCGCACAATGGCTCGGTGTCGGCTCGGCTAGCGGTGCTGGGAACGGCTCACACCTTTGCAAGGTGATAGTCAATGTTATTGTTTTGACTGACTAATTAGGATGGATGTTTTGTTCTAAGAGGGATTATGTTATGAGAATCGCTAATAAGCGCGCACGCATAAAGTTTTGTACGGTTTATAAATAAGTCGTTTCGCTGTTATTTATGATTTCATGTTAACAGCTTTTAGACACGTGATGCATAGGTTACATTAATATGTATTATGATTACCTGTTTTAAAATTTAATGTAAAATATTCGATAGGCCTGTGGATATGTTTATTATTCTAGTCATTATTACTATGGGAAAGAAACTTGGGATTTTCCCATAATAAAAAGCGGCCGCCCGCCCGCGACATAGAAAAACTTAGGTACACCATCATTTTTATGTCCAGAAAATCGATATAATCTTACATCGTCACGCGAAAAATTGATCTTATCCTATGTTTTATCGATTCAAACGACATGACACGTGATCTTGCGCACGCTCTGCACGTAAAAAGATAAAGTTATTGGAAAATCTCTATTGGCTCATCATTTGATCACCATCGGAAGAATATAACCTTTTTTTTACAGATACGGCACTATTGGGGGCGTGCCAAGAAGCAAAAGGTAGCACGTTGACTCGTATTCTCAATTTTGTTTTGTTTATTTTTTGCGTTTTGGCTTAGGTACTAAATATTCAGGTAGGTAGAAAGTTTGTTTGCTTATTTGTAAGTCGCAAACCTGTTGTAAGCTAGTTACTGTCATTGAAAAAAAAATCACTAGTGACTAGACTGAAATTGCACTGAAAAAAATCGTAAGTACAGACAGACTATACTTCTATACATATAAAAGAAAGTCGTGTTAGTTACTCCACTTATAACTCAAGAACGGCTGAACCGATTTAGCTGAAAATTGTCAGGGAGGTAGTTTAGAGCCAGGAGAAGGACATAGGATACTTTTTATCCCGTTCGAAATTTAAAAAAAAGTCTGCTTATTTATTGCCATTAAGGCGGAACAAAGTTCGCCGGGTCAGCTAGTTTGAAATAAAAAAAGTTCATTGCATTGATCTATATTATTCACTGTAAAAGTTTTCGCCAAACTGCGTCCTTTACACCCATTATGTGTAAGATTAGGTAAAACTAGATAACATTCACATGACGTGGTATGTTTTCAGGGTTTTCCCTGGCCTGAAAAAACCAAGAAGCTCAGACGTAGTAAGTAGACTGTAATGACAAATAACAATAGGATGTTTCGATAATTTGAGGATAATCCATTCATTTGTTTCTGTAAATATGTTTGTGTTGTGACTTATTTGTGGGTTTTTTGGGTATAGCTTAGTTTCAGTAGTTATTATTTTTCTATTGTGTGCTTTACTACACTGAGAAAATTGTTTGGTTACTGCTAAAATCAGTGACTTGCAAAGTACATACTAACTTTGGCTATGAAGAATAAAATGTTGGGTAAATTAAACAATCTAGGTTGTACTAATCTAAGCTTAGTAAAGTTATAGGTTAACACTCACCTCGCAAGTCACTTTCTTGTGGCAGTAACTAAACATTTTTTTAGTGTAAAGCCATGAGTTTGATTTGCAATCATAGGTGACTAGGATGGCTCTAGAGATTTTTATACCTCAGCTTGACCGCGATACATAGGTTTGACTATTCCTCTGAAATACTTATGTAACAGCATCCCAAATTGATTGAGATGCATTTCAATAATATCGGTACAAAGCAACGATACTAAAATTCGTTCAACAATACAATATCAATAACTAAATTGTTCACGTTTTTTGACATTTTACATTTTGCTTTTTACTTAGTGCGCACTATTCTGGACTCTTTATTGATGTGGCTATATTTCTGATGATTTTGCAATATTACGACGCAATGAAAGTTGTGTAATTATTACGATTATGTGCAGTTATTAATTTATTTGCATGCTGTCAAGTTAGCGAAATACAGAGGCCGTACGATCACCATTTCCTTGCTAAACTTTTTGATGTTTTAAGTAGACGAAATGAAAAAAAAAAGACAACCAACCTCAATATAATTGGCCTATCAAAACTTCCTATTTTTTTTTAATTCTCTCGTTAGCATGTTTTTGGTATAAAAAGGCTAAGTAAAAGGTAAGTTGAAGTCTACGCTAAGTCTCCTGCAGTGGAGACTGAATGACTGAAGAAGAATTAATTTATTCTTTTTTTTTCTAACAAAAAACTGTCTTAACATAAACTTAACTTAGTTGTAATGTAAGCAAACCCTTCAGCAGTAAAATCTCGGTAGTATGATTTCTAATCGTCACTCGCCGCGATGGAGCGATAACACGCTCCGTGTCGCGCGGAGTTGCGCCCGCGCCGCCCGCTAGGGCTGTCAACTTGTGCAAAATATTTTTATAGAAGCTTGAAATAATCATCAGTATAGCCAGAGTGAGGGTTATTTAATTTGATTATTAGTAATATTTTTATTAATGTACAACTAATAATTTATTTAATAAACTACATAAATTATATCCATTTATAAGAGTTTCCATTTATATTTTATTAAAATAAAAATATCTTAGTACCCTAAAGAAAAAAAAAACAATAAATAAAACGTTCAACAATAAAATATTTTTGCGAAACTAGTATTGAATTTTAGCTTAAATTTTTTTTCTTAAACTTATTCTCTTAAAACTGGATTCACTCATATTTTCTGCTAACAATAAATCGCTTCTTTTTTATACATTGTAGCAGTTCCTTAATAGCCGGCCACGAGACACCGTTAATAAAGAATAGCGCGTCTGACGTCACTGTCACTTGGGGTGCGCAAGCGCAGGGGGTGCGCGTGGGAACGCGTGCTGCCTCAGCTGGCCGAACAGCTGTTGCATCTGCCTTGTGATATATCGGAATATTATACTAAATTACGCAATAAGATTGGATAGGTACAAATATTTTTACTAAAAAATATTTTTTATTATTAAAAATTAAAAAAATATATATTTTAAGCCAATATTTTATATTGACTTTCTTAAATTTTTTAATACTGTTTTAATAAAATAAAAATAAGTATGCATCCTTATTAGTATGCCATAAAACACAATAGGATAAAACAAAAATAATAATATGATGAAATGATAACTCGGTTTTTCAAGACTTTTTAAGCAATTTATAATCGTGCTTATATTAATATTTGCGTTTGTTTTAATATTTTTATTAAAACATCTTTAATTTTAGTTTGATGATGACAAACACGAGTATTTTTCTTTTTAAAGTGTAACTCGTTTAAACTTTTATGAGCATTCTGTTTTTCATGGTATAGCAATTAAATAATAATACATTTGGTTTAATGTCTCAGATTTAATAATATGTATTAATAAATAATTAACTATCTGTCATGTCTATGGCCGTGTCGTATGACGTTTCCATGGAAACGGATTGTGTTGACTAATAAAATGATAGAATATCAGAATACTTTATTATTTAATAATGGGAGGACACTGTCATGTCTATGGCCGTGTCGTAAACCGTTTCCATGGAAACGTCATACGACACGGCCATAGACATGACACTATCAATCATAATTATTATTTTAAAAGTTAAACACTCATAGTTTTAAATTATCTAAGAATAACTAAAATTATGAATAATCTCTAAATTCTATCTCAAAGGATCTAAAAATACCGTTACATCAAAGATAGTAAAATAATAATTCGCCGTTCCAATAGTGCCACCCCTGTATTTTATTTATCACGGGCGTTTGCCACAATCGGTATAGGGCGCATAAAAGCGGGCGGCGGTCGGCGCGCGCGCCACTCGCTCACAGACCGCCGCGCGCGCAGCACCCATGATCCTCCCCGCGCGAACCATGTCGCCGCACGGCGTGTACCACCCGCCCGCGCACGCGCAGCCCGACGAGGAACCCGTCTCCCGCACCTACCAGTACCGCAAGGTCATGAAGCCCATGCTCGAACGAAAACGACGAGCCCGCATCAACCGCTGCCTCGACGAACTCAAGGATCTCATGGTCACCGCACTCCAGGCCGAAGGCGAAAACGTCTCCAAACTAGAAAAAGCAGACATCCTCGAACTCACCGTCCGACACCTCCACAGCCTCAAACGCCGAGGCCAGCTCGTCCTGAAACCCGAAATGTCTTATGCGGAACGCTTCCGCGCCGGATTCACGCAGTGTGCAACGGAAGTGTCACAGTTTATCGCGAACGCCACGCTAGCAGCGAACGCTATGCAGCGGCAGGGGCCGGTGGACCCGCAGGCCGGCGCGAGGTTGTTGCAGCACCTGAGCAACTGTATCAGGAGGTTGGAGAACCCTCAAGTGGTGCAGCCGCAGCCGATCGCTCCTAATGGGGTGGCGCGGCCGACGCCGCTGCAGCCGATAGCGCCGGCGCCGCCGCCGCAGCCGGCGCCGGGGCAGCAGCCGGCGCCGCAGAGGACGGCGCTGCCGGAGCGGGGCCTCAAGAGGCCGGCGGAGCCGCTGGACGCTGAAGCGGCGCTCGCCAAGCGTGCGTACGCGCCGCCCTCCCCGCCGCACAGCCCCGCCTCCGAGACCGACTCCGCCCAGTCGATGTGGCGGCCCTGGTGACCGCCTGGTGCCTCATGATCTCCGAACAGACTGTGCCTCGATGTGTGATAATCACAAACGTTGTTTTGTTTTACGTTCCTAGAACCGATGTGTTGACCCGTTGCATGAGCGCTCGCTTTGCTTGTTGAACTTTGAGTTTTGTTTTCTAATTTAAATAAAATAAGTTTTTGTTTTAATCTAATCTGTTATTTTTAAACTCCTAAATTCAACGTCTTCCGCGTCGGTTGTTAAAGCATTTACTTTTAAAAGTTAAAGTACCATAGTGTAGTGTAGTACCTAAGTTATCTCTGTGATATACGTAAATAGTTTTCTTGAATGTTAAAGAAGTTGTTAGGTTGCTATCATAGATAAATAGGACACTTGAACATTTCACAGAAGTGATTAAAATAAAAGTTATTTAATAAAATATTTTTGTACTAAATTATGTTTAATTGCTACTTTCTCATCCCGTCATTCATGAACCCATTAACTTACCTATACTTCAACATAGATTTTATATCGCAATTATCACTTTAACAAGATAATTTTGTAATTTTGATCAGTAATCACCTCGTGCAATAATCTTGCAAGAGGTCTCATTTCCTTACAATCGGACTTCATGGGAAAATGCTTTCTCCGTATCAAACTCTAAATTAAACCTTATATCCAATGCCCAGGATTTAAATTTTCTTGCAATCGCTGGGATCGTCTCAAGACAATAGATAATAATTAGTGGTATTTGATGAAATATTCAAGCGAATTTCTTCGTGGAATAATTTTATTGGCAATTCTCACGATGTCCGGCATCGGCTAAACACGATGATACTTGTAAAATAAAAACATTCCGGAAACTTGATAATGATACAATAACATGAATAATTATGAAGTTATGATAAAAATAAATCATACTTGCGCAATGTAAGGGGAAACCCCATGAATCAGTTAACAAAAATGTAACGCAGAATCCAGAGACAATGTTCATCCCTCAATTAATTCTGAAATCTTTCAAGAATTACACATAACAAAAGAAATCAAGTCTTCCGAGATTTTAAGGTTGGGTTGCACCATCTTACTTTAACTTTGACAAACGTCAATAATCTGTCAAACTCCATACAAAAAGCACTGGTTATCATCATAGTTAACGTTAAAGTTAGGTGGTGCAACTCAGCCTAAGAGTTGGGTATACTTTCTATACGTTTTTGACAAGAACGTAAATTTTTCACTGACACAAACACAAGTCATACAAATTCTCAGCCTCACACCCTAACCTGTGCCCTAACTAAAAGTATACTTTCCCGCTAAGAATTTTCACTTATCGATAGCGATTATACACTTTAGCCGATGATAAGGGAATGTGGAGACGCGCGAAGGGAATGGTGTAAAAAAACTTATTATTTACAACACTGATCTAAAGAGATTATGAAAAATGATGTTATTTATTAACTAAAAAGTTTTTTTTATTTTTAAATATTATGAACTTAGTAGATATATTATGTATTATTAATTTAAATTATCTTTATTTAAAGCGCTCTAATCTTCTGAGCCATCAAGATGACATCATCATTTCAGCCATAGGACGTCCACTGCTGAACATAGGCCTCCTCCAAGATGAAGATAACATAGCTGTACCTATTGGGACAGTTTCACCACTTGTTGATAAAGTCTCTAATAGCCTCACTAACTTATCTGTCAGATAAACTGCAACTTTTGACTTCACTGGTCCAAGAATAGAGCTACCGAAAAGAGAATGTTATCGGTTATCGGTAAACCTAATTTATTAGATAGCGTTATGATAATTATTTGCAACTTCACCATGAGTCGGTGTATCTTCAAAATAGGCCCAAGACAAACTTGACATTAGTTGGTTTTAACGAAAACGGGAACGAGAGTTGGTAATAGCCCCGTAGGTCCAGATAAATTCAACTAAACTGAAAACATTCAAATCAAATGAGCAAAGCAACCTTAAGTTTCACATTCTCGTAAATAAAAATTCGTCATAAATAGAGCTTTAACATTAACCTTCAACGATTGCGGTCCAAAAAGTAATTGTACGCGAATACCGGACAGGAGCGTGCGTCTGCGCACCTAGAATTAGTTCGGTGCTAATTGGGCGTTGCGTGCGCGCCGGCGTGGGAACCGGTGAAAATATCGCTTCGGTTACGGTGGGTCGACTAATCGGACGATTGGTCTTGCCGAATCGGTTCGGATAACTTTGGGCGATCTGGTGCTGATCGGATACGCTGGTGATAGATGTTGGAGATATCTTCGATTAGTTGCGGGCCCTGAAATGGTAGGAGCGCGATGGGAGAAAGTAGAGCTTGTAAAAATGTAGACTACTTTTGCCAGTCACACTTAAAGTCACATAGAAACTTTTAATCAGTAGATCATAGAGGTTACTACTTCATGCTAGAGTTCAGATAAAATGTTGTCGAAAGAAAATGCAGAGATTTCAGATAAAAAAAAATCATCATACATAAAAATAATCACAAAGGATATGACCTTCGATTGTATGCATTAGGTGACAGTACTAGAGGCATCTTTGCACCAGCGAGCGCTTTGGTAAGCTTTTTTCATAAGAGTTACTCCCACAACTCACATCCCCGCTAAATAAAAAATCGATGAGGAGAAGAGAAAATACATCTCATCAATCTATAAACTAGGCGTGTCCACAAAAAACCGTGGCACATTTCTGTGAAAGACAATGCAAATGCTTCAAGAATGACATTGTTTTTTCAGCTGTTTCTCGTTAATCGAGAGGTTTATTGGCATGAAATAGCAATTTATAAAACTGTCTCATTTACATTACTTGTACAAAGGGCGTAGTCTCAAGTTTCAAGAAATGGTTAGTCTAGTTATCAAGTTAATAGGATTAACAGATTTTAATTTTATCACGGGCAACGATTCTTGACTCAATAAATGTTTTCAACACGAAACATTGAATTAATAACCTATTGTCGTGTATACTGTGAAATGATCGTATGCAAGCGGTAGCGTGAGCGATTCAAATAGCTTTCAAATGAACAGCAAATGAGCATAGGCTCAAATCTATAATTAGTTGGAGTAGAGCTTTGAGCGTAGTTTCAGAATACAACAACAGAGGCAAAATTGAGCAGTAGAATCATTTGGAACCATTTAGGCTGGATTGCACCATCTTACTTTAATAATTATAACAATAACCGATGTTTTTTGTATGGAATTGTACAGATTTAAGATTTAAGGGGGGAGAATGTTGGCGACAGATCTGGTAACACCGATGCAAGGCGATGGTCTATGGACTGCAGCCTAGCAACGGTGTACACTATAATTCTGTTACATTGGTTTAAGTGATCTTAAATACAGTTAAGCATATTTTCATTTCTGTAGCTAACATTCTGTTGTAAACAAAAAATAGTCAGTGCCATGCATCAGGACTATTTTGAATCCCGCTACAGCTTGTTTTCGGCCAGTCAAATCTCGAAGCGTGATCATAGTGGAAATCCTTAGGCGTGGCCTCACTACAGACGTCATCAATCTGCTAAGTATTTAATTGCCTGTATAATTGCTTAGGACTAGTTTCATAATAAGTATTCGGTGAAGTTGCCAGACTGTTTTGTACATCATTGTTATCAACATGAAATACACAAATTGTAAGTGTTTTTTATCGAATTCACGATTAAAAAACTTGGCTTTGGTATTTAAATGAAGCTTGATAATCTTGTAAAGGAAAGTAATAAGGCAATCTCCATAATTAATAATAATTATAAAAGACAAAATGAGGATTGGTGTTGCTTGTAATTCATTCACTTTTACTGTATTTACTATGGATGCGTATTTTTCTTTTTGAAAATATCATTATGGTAAAAAAATCCGCACAATTGCCCACACCATGTTCTATGAATTGCAACAATCTAAAAGATACTCGTTTCAGCCGAAAGACTTCCACTGCTGGACAAAGGCCTCCCGCAAGGATTTCCACAAAGACCGGTCCTGCGCCGCTCGCATCCAGGCGCCTCCCGCGACCTTCACCGGGTCGTTGGTCCACCTAGTGGGAGGCCTGCCCATGCTACGTCTTCCGGCTCGTGGTCGCCACTCAAGAACTTTCCTGCCCCAGCGGCCATCAGCTCTACGAGCTATGTGCCCACTGCCACTTGATTTTAGCGATTCTGCGGGCTATGTCAGTCACTCTGGTTCTCCAACGGATCTCCTCATTTCTGATTCGATCACGTAGGGAAACTCCGAACATAGCACGCTCCATCGCCCTTTGGGTGAACTTGGGCCTTATTATGAGACCCATAGTAAGCGACCACTAGAAGATACTATTATGAGCAAATCTATATTTATTACCTTACTAAACTTACGTAAACTGAACCTTACCGAAAAAGGACCAGCACTGATGAAATTGTTACACCATCTTCTTATATGAGCAAATCTATGTATAATGGTTTAAAAATGTATCTGGTAAGACCGCCAAAAATAAGAAATCTATTTTACAATCGCTGAACCGCCTACAGCCTACACAATATTTTCAGTGCAAAACCGAGTCACTGGCAAAAGTAAAAGTGTTCAGCATTAAGTGGTTCAATTTACGTAAGCCAAGCCTTTCATCTCCGATTGTCAATGTTATCACTTTCCGACGAGTTGCCATAACAATTGGTACGGAAGCGCGTTTGTATCACGACAGGCTGTATCGGAGATCAATTAAAGTTTTTCTAACTCGACTTTGGCAATAGAGTACTATTAGTGTACTAGAAGTACCGCCAAACATTTTTATAACCGACTTAAAAAAAGGAGGAGGTTCTATGTTCGGCTGTATGTTTTTTTTTTCTGGTCTACCAGAAGGTAAACTGGTCGAGAATGCTTAAGTGCATTAAGTTTGCCTTATGTTCAAATTTTGGCATTAAAGTTTTAAATAAATAAATAGACATGGCAAGTCAAAATCAGGTTTGCACAAAAAAGGCAAATTTTGAGATGTATTCGTGTGTGTTTGAAAACCAACTGTTCTGTGACGACGTCATGCGATTCAAGTTTCAACCGCGAGTTTACATTAAACCGCAATATTATTTGCTACTAACTTTCTAGATAAAATAAAAACATAATTTACCTCATCTTGTAGTAAGACCACCTGTTTTAAACCCAGCTATTTCTAGCTTCATCCCCAGTGAGGACAAAGTATTTAGCCACATATTAATTACTATTCAGCTCGGGAACTCGAACCTTA